TTAAAGGTTTGTAGTCTTTGTGATAAATTAACAGACTAATGGACACTCAAATCCTAACTGCTAGTCTCTACTACATGAGCCAAGAATTTGCTAAGCTTGACCAATTTGACGGTCAGAACTACACCTGTTAGGCCGACAAGGTCAACTTTATGCTTCATGTGCTAAAGCTCACCTATGTTTCGGACCCAAAACCGACCACAATTCTTGTTGATCCAATTCTCGAGGTAGGGAAAATTGTCGATCCAATGATCATCCGTGATCTTGAAAAGAAAGGGCTCTACGTAGATAGTCTGAGGAACTGTGTGTGGTTCACATCAAGAACTCACTTTCTGATCGGCTCTATGATCTTTACGCGTCGGTCAAAGATCCAAGAGAGCTATGGAGTGCTTTGGAACTCGAGTACAAGGCACATGTGGAAGGTACTAACAAGTACCTAGAGTTTCAAATGGCTGACGACAAACCTATCATGGAGCAAGTGCATGAACTCCAGGTCATGGTCAACAAGCTGAATGCACTATCTATCTCGATACCAGAACTCTTTCAGGTTGGTGCGATCATCATAAAATTGTCACCCTCGTGGAAAGACTTCCCTAAGAGAATGATGCACAAATATGAGGACTACTCCTTGGATGATCTGATAAAACACCTTCACATTGAGGAGGCAACTCGCATCAGGGACAAGCATGGTAAATTCGGATCGAGTGTGCACCATGTATCAGTTGGAATATGGGGGACAAAACAAGAAGAACTTTGGACCCAAGAAACAAAGCTCCAAGAAACCGGGTCATCAGAATCCTAACTCAAAGCCTAAGAGGGTCGGACCTTGCCATGTCTGCAAAGAGATTGGGCAGTATGCGAGAGAATGCAAAGATCGCAAATCAGGACTGGTAGGACATACAGTCGAGCAAGTGACTGATATGGTGGTAAGTGTGAACCTTGGATAGATTTTCATGATCTCTTCCCTTACCCGAGCGATCTGTGCTCGAGGAAGGTTCATGGGCACTGGAGCCATTATACATGTTTGTGGGCAACGAGGGAGATTCAACACTTACCGTCCAACACCACTAGGGACGGTAGTGGCTTGTGGAGATGGTCACAGAGCTGAAGTTCAAAGGAGAGGCGATGTTCGTTTCAAGTTCACACGTGGTGAATGGGTCACCCTTCAAGATGTACATCATGATCCTACTATCTCGAAGGGGTTGGCTTTTGTGGATACGTTTGAAAAAAGTGGGTTCAAGATAGAGCTTGAGAATGGAAGAACTGTGATCACTAAGGGAATAAGGTATGTTGGAAGGGCGAACAACTGTTTAGGAATGTATGCAACACATTGCACTCAACCTGACATCACATTCTTTGTAAGCAAACTGAGTCTATATACTATAAATCTAGGGATGGAGCACTTGAAGGCAGTGGGTAGAGTACTAGGATACCTGAAAAGTACAAGTACTTTTGAGTTGACGTATTCGTCATCAAATGGAATACTAGAAGGGTATTATGATGCTAGCTAGATAGACCACACCAGTGATTCAAAATCCACAAGTGGTTGGATTTATACTCTAGCTGGAGGTGCTATTTCTTGGGCGAGGAAGAAACAGACATGCGTAAGTCATTCAATGATGGAAGCAAAGCTAATTGACTTAGTAGCAGCAGACAAAGAGGCATAGTGGATTTGAGATCTACTTATGGATATTCGTCTGTGGGATATTCCAATGCCTTCTATACCCATGTACTGTGATAGTGCGACCACACTGTCTAAGTATATAATGCGGTATATAATGGGAAGTCGAGACATGTAGGTCTGAGACACAATTTTGTGAGACAACTAATTGAAAGTTGTACCATGAAGGTTGTCTATGTCAAGACAAGTAGGAACTTGGCATATCCATTTTTCAAACATCTAACGAGAGATTTGGTTACATCTACCACGAGAGTCATGGATCTAAAACAACAATAGAATCACTTAGTGATGGAAACCCAACTTGACATTAGTGCTCCTAATTCTCAAGTTGAAAGGGTAACAACGAAGTCACTAACAACAGAAGGTACTATCATTAATGATAGATCCATGTAAGGTAGGATAGTACGTCGTTGCTGAGAACGAGGTTTGAGTTACGACTCTTAACAAAGTTTTAGAGACATCTAAGCAACGAAAATGTTGTAAAACTTTTCCTTTATGATCTAGAGGTGGTTTCACCTCAAACGAAGATTAGTGGTTTATCTTCTAAAGGATCATGAAAAGGATTTATAGCGCATGACCATATTAGCGCTCAGGGAGAACGCAAAGACGGCATGTGATGTGTGGGGGTAAACCGGAGAGGTCACAAGGTTCATGGTTTATAACTATAAGGATACCATTGAATTGGTCTCTTCTTATTTGTTCTCATTAAACAAGGGTTTAATCTTTGTGACACCCAAGTGACATCACGTGTTTGAGTGAAAGGAAACTTTCCAACTTGGTGGGGGATTGTTGGAAATTATAGAGGAAATATTGCAAGTTGGCAAGTTTCCTCTATCCCACATTGGTGGCGGGAAGAAACATTTAGTGGATTTATAAGGGTTTTCCCTTTATAGGCCTTCAAAGCCTTTAGTGGATCAAAGGAATGGGCCAAGCCCATACACGTGCGTATAGCCTAGCCTAGCATTAGTCGACGCCACGGGTGCGTGAAATGGTAGGATTTAGGCGCACTTGGCACTGCGCACGATGCGTTAGTCACTGGGAGCCGAGGAGCTTTTATTTTTGTCGAGTTCGGGTCAAGTCGGTTTGACCAATCCGGTCAAATAGTTGACTTCTTGGATAAGGTGATAGAATGTTCTAGAAGGCTCAGAAAACGGATTGCTTGGAGAGCAAGTCCTCGCCCTAGGGTTTTTATGGGCCGACCTATGAGGGCCTTTTTTTTCCTTCTAGGGTTTCGACACCTATAAATACACCCCCCTAGGAGCCGTATTCCACAGACGAAAATTCTAGGCTCTCTCAATATTCTTGGCGATTTCATCCCGGTTTCTCAGTATTTACTTTGCGTTTATCATTTTCCATTGCTATTGGAAACTCAATAAATATACATTAAATGTTAGGGTTTATTTTGTTGCTTACATCCGATAGAAGTGAAGTAAAACCCTTTAAGGACGGGAGTCCAATCCGTGCAATTCTCTAAGATCAAGACCAGCCGTCAACGGGTCGGTTTTACATTACTGTTTTGCGTTTACTTTCATCCAATAACATGACACTCTTCTTCTACATTTCTTATAATCAGATCTAATCGAGAAGGATTGACCTGATTTTTGGACGAAACTTGGTAATCATATTAATAATAATTAGATTTATTATTCGTAACTAATCGACATATAATTCTCAATATTATTTTTCGGTTTCCTTGTTTGTCTATTGGTTTTGATAATCAACATTTACAAATCCTTTTTGGTATTTTGATATATACTTTCAAGCCAGGTCAAAAGCATGTGTAAATAGATCATTATAAAATTCAGCATGGTAATGAAGAGGAATGTTAAAATATTAAACTCTTAAAATGATGACCAAATAAAGTCAAAGCCAACAAGTGAAACAAAAAATACAATTTTATATATTTTAAAAAATCTATACATTTATTGCAATATATTGTATGTTTAATGGTTTAATGTTATTAATTGTATGCAATAGTATTGATTAAATCTCATGTATAAGATTAAAGCACTCTAAATTAAATGTTCATATTTACGAGTTTAAGATAAGTTTTTCTTACATCTCATATTTATTGTCCACTTTTGACTATTGAAGTTTATATTCTTTAACTTTGACCTTAAATATTTTTGTTTTTGATATATAATACTCGATTCAAAATATATGAATGGACTGTGTTTTAAATGTCATTTCATTGTTATAAGTTTAATCATGTAATTTGTAATACAAATAAAAATATTTAAGGTCAAAATTGAAGAATAAAAAACTTCAAAAGTTAAAAGTGGACAATAAATATAGGACGTATGGAATATCTAGAAATGGGTTTTGAAAGTATGGATAGTGACTTAAAAGGGTAATATACTTTTTTGTTTGTATATATTTGGTCACTGAGTTTTTTTAGTCTACATTTTCCTTTTCAACTTGTTTAAACTGTACACATTCAGTCCTTATGACCGACTACTCTAGGTAAGCCGAAAAAATGACTTAATAGGGTAATATATTTTTTACTTTGTACACATTTAGTCCTTTTTTTGTTGCAAAATAAGTCATTTGTACACATTGAATATTTATTACTGGTTTCTTCCGGTTTTGCTCACGACATCCTATATGGAACAATCATTAAATGAGGTGTTCAGGGCTATTGATGCTTACGGCCACTGTGGCCTTAACTAATTTACATCTGTCATGAATTGCTCGACAATTAGAGAAATTTATGTGATTTTACATCACTGGTGGATGTTCTTCATATCATGTTCAGGTATGCAGATTCTTTATTGGAGGTTGATGGCTTCCATCGAATTCCCCATGAAATACGGATGGATACATTGCTATTGTGTGGCTCATTGTGAATGTAACAAAAATAATATTCTCTTCAACAATCAGATTAGAAACAATATAGAATTAGCTAGCGATGTAAAGATTTTGTCTTTCAGTTGGATCAAAGTTAAGAAGAAGAAGAAATGAGTTTTTTATAGGTTGAATTGGTGTAATTGTCATTCGAGGGAATGTTTGAGCTTTTTTGTAACCAATATTTTATAGCCTGAGGCTAGCTTATTTGCAACAAATTTCATGTTGATCAAAAGATAGAATCAACCCAAGTTATCAAAGTGATACCAAGTATCATGTAACCATAGAGATAAAGTTATAGCTATAAATTTTCTAAATGATAGTTAACCTATTAATGTTCGTTTGTTTATGTGTGTATGTGTGTGTGTGTGTGTATATATATATATATATATATATATATATATATATATATATATATATATAGATATAGACACATTATCACACACACACACAAAAAGTCATCTAGGAAAGGAAGTACCTGTAAATCAGAAAGCTTTGATAAAACTTCCATATCTTGTGGAGAAAACATATCACCGACCCGAGAAAAAAGAGATGGTCTAGGGAACAATGTTTGAGTGTTCCACCAGTAAGTCAATAATGGGACGTAATGAGTAACACGTTGAGCCCATTGGTCCCTCTTCATCAGTTTATTATACACTTCATTGGATAAGCTTGAAGGGAAGGAAGGCCACCAGTTATTAATTCCAGGTGAAACGAGAGCTGCTCCTTCCAACCTATTTCAATCACACATATAAAATCAATCTAGTTAGAAATAAACTCCCTATAGAAACAAGGCCAAATTCCAAAAAAAAGGAAAATTTGCTAAAAATCCCAAAAATGGGAAATTGTATTCATTTTGACCATTATATCCGATCAACAGGTTATCAAACTTTTAAAAATGACACTTTTGGCCTAGATTTTAAATTTTATTACAAATTTGGGCCAAAATTTATAATTTTGGTCTAGATTTCAAAATTTTGTCAAAAATTCATCATACCTTTAGTTTTTTACATTTTTTTTCAAAATTTTGTTTCGAATATGTTTTTTTTACTTTATAAAACCATATCTATACAAAAAAACATATTTTCACATAAAAACCCTTTTTTTCTACATAATTTTTTTTAAAAAAATATTTTTGTATGCGGAATACTTATTTAAAAAATTAGGTAATTATTAAATGCATAAATATATTTACAAATCAGTTTTCTTATAAAAAATATATACACACACGTATTTTACAATATATATATATATATATATATATATATACACACACACACACACACACACACACACACACACACACTAAAACACTTTTAAATAAATGTATTGAAAAACGGATTAATATTTATTTATGTACTTAATAAATACATATTTTTACAATACCTAATTATAAAAATGTATTCAAACACTTATTTTACAAAAATATATACATTTTTTTTATTTAAAAACGTGTTTATATACAAATGCATTTATTATAAAATAGGTGTTTATATACATGTTTTTTTATAAAGTACGTGTTTGTATGCATCTTTTTATAAAAACGTGTTTGTATACAAATGAATTTATCATAAAATAGGTGTTTGTATATTTTTTTTATAAAATACGTGTATGTATATATATTTTTTATAAAAAATAACGGATATATATATATATATATATATATATATATATATATATATATGCACTTAATAAATACCTAACTTTATAAATACATATTTCGCATACAAAAATGTTTTTAACAAATTATAAAGAAAAAAAGAAAGTCTTTTATGTGAAAGTATGTTTTTTGTATCAATATTATTTTATAAAGCAAAAAATTATATTCGAAACTAAATTTTAAAAAAAGATGTAAAAAAACTAAATTTATGATGAATTTTTAACAAAATTTTGAAATCTATGCAAAAAATTTAAATTTTGGACGAAATTTATAATAAAATTGAAAATCTAGGCCAAAAGTATAAATTTTAGATCAAATTTATAATAAAATTGAAAATCTAGGTGAAAAGTGTAATTTTAAAAAATTGAATGAACTTTTAATTTGGTAAAAGAGTTAAAATGAATATAATTTCTTGTTTTTTGAGAATTAATTGACTAAAAAAATAATAACTAAAATAATTATAAGACCTAAACATAAAGGCTTTTCAATAGATTCTAAAAAAAACTATAGGTTGTTTTTTATTTTATAACGACTCTGAGATACTACTCTTAAACATAATGACTTTCTATGTCAAATGACCTGAACATAAGGACTTGAACGGTCATTTTATAGACCCGGGGTACATTTTCGGCACTTTCTATGTCAAAGGCCCGTTGCTTTTCTTTCTTTTTTATTTTATTTTCTTTTTTATTTTTATGTATACCCTTCCAAATATATATTTTGTGGTTTAAGCATTAAAAAGAAATTAAAAAAAAAAACCAATGTAAAGGTTTTTCAGTAATAAATTGCAAAAACCGACGAGAAATAGTTTTCTAACTAAAGTGTTGTTTTTAAATCACTTTTTTTATGGTTAAATTATAGAATAAAAACTTCATATAGTGAAATCTAACAAATTCTAAACTATAATAGTTTTTATAAAAAATAAAGTGTTACGGAGTGAAATCAAAGTCTCAACCGATAAATCAGAAAAATATATTTTCAATTGATTAAAATGAAAAAGTTCCAAGGTAGAGTACTTTTTTGTTATTTATTTATTTACTAGCTGTAAGACCTATTTATTACATTGATTCATTTAAAAAAAAATTAAATATGAAATTCTAAATATTTCAGAAGTTTGAATTTATAAGAAAAATTTTAAAAATATTGAATTATTAAAAATAAAGTGTTTTTTCTCTTTTAAATTCAAACAAATAATTTAGATAAATAAACAACGAAAACTAATGAGTTTTAATTTAGAAAATTTGAAATTAAAAAAAAAGTCAATTAATGAAATTGAAATACATTTATTATTATATTTATTGCAATTAATACATTTAATTAAATATTATTTGAAGTTTAATAAAAATGAAACAACCACAAAATACCATGTGGAAAAAATTTAATTGAAAATAAACATAAAATGACATGTGACCAAATCAATGAAAATGTGACACGTGGTAAAAAGATTTTCTTTTATTAGAGTAGATTTTTTAAACATTTTATGGAATTGGCCAAGAAAAAACCAAGATCTGTACAAATTTTGTTTACACCTTTGAGGGATGTACTTGAGACAAGACCAAACCAATTGTCCACCCATTGAGAATCCAACTAAATAGAATTTTGATCCAAGTCCAAGCTGATCAGCAAGCTCTTCTACATCAGAAGCAAAACTTTTTAGGGTTCGATTTGGGTTTGGATCACTCTCTCCATAACCAGGTCGATCAAATGAGACAATATACACCCTTAAACTTTCGATAAGATCCTGTAAAGATTAAAAAATAATCCTAATTAAGACAAGATAAATAACAAAATAACCACACAAAAAGAGAAGAATCCACACCGGAGAGGTTGTAATGGCTAATGGATTATATTCTTTGCAACTGTTATAACCATGAATGAATATTATCTTATATTTCGCTGAATCTTTTGAAACGCCATGTTCTTTATAGGATAAATGTCTTCCATCATGAAGCTTTATCCTGGGTGATGTGATTGGAGGACCATCTGGAGATCCACATATTTTCGGAGGTGGTGGATGGAATGCTTTAGAAGCCGATGCCAAGAATCCCATAAAGAAGATGAGTTGCAATTTCTTGAAAAATCCCTACGCAATTTTTAAATCAAGAGGCTTTTATAATTATTTAAATAATAGCATGAAGTTTAAGTTTGAAATATAAGTTCACTTTTTAAGCTGACTTTACATTGATCTTGAAGCTACTTAATATAATATTGAAGCTACTTAATATAATCTTGGTACCGAAAAAGAATGCGTACAAACAGGGCGTAGCTATGCTTGTACTAGGTCCTAGGAACTATTTTTTTTAATACAACAAATATATATAGAAAAAATGTAGGATCTATTTTATTTTTGCTAAAAGACCTACCTATTTCAGTTTTATTTATATAAGGAACCACGCGGTTTTTGGTTCTAGATTCGCCACCGCGTACAGATCAAAATCTTTGCTTGTTAATTATAACTTGTAAAATTAATACTACATTGTTTCAAAATAAGAGATATATTTCAAGCATCTTCATCAAAAGTGCACTTGTCAATTTCTGTAAAGGTTATTCTTTTTAGCAACCCTTACTCACACCACATATATAAACAACACACATAATGGCTAAGATCCTAATGTCCACAAGGAACTTAATCCAAATTAGAGTAGAAACTCGCATCGAGTGTTTAGACTCTAACCCTCACAAATCTCTACAAAGATAACACCCTAAAACAAACCGTGGGGTTAATCCATCGTTTAGAAAAGTAGTGCTTCTCAGTTAATTTTTTGCGTGCTTCTATACATTTCATATCATGACACCATTTCTTATAAAAATAAGTCGAACCATTTAACCTTAACTTTGGGTGATATTATTTAATATGAAAATATATTTAATCTTCTAGGGTCAACAAGTTATTATATGCAAAATTGATAGGAGTAAACAGTTTGGACCGGTGAAAAAAAGGAATTTTTAATAAAAAAACATTTAATTACCAGAGGATAGGCCTTGGTTGGACGTTTTCCAATATGCAAAAGATGCAATTTTTGTTTAGGTGAACAGGATAGAGACAATGCGACTAATTTAATGAGCATTCTTAAATTTTTCTATGTTTGCGTCCGGGCTAAAAGTACCCTTTATCCAAATGCAAGTTGTTTGAAGTCTGTTAGGCCGGTCGGTACACCCTCTTTCGCACACGCGGTGGTTGATTTGGCGCCGCAGTGTGCGGTGCACACAAAAAGATGAGCACTATTGACGACACATTATAGAGCGATTTCTTAGTATCATGTGTCGTGGGCCTTATCGTACAAAACACCAATGCAGTAGCAAGTTTTGAGAGATGAACAAATCGGTTACCAAATTCAACGAAATTTACAACAATTTGATTACTCAACGAAAAAGTGGGGAAAACGATCAACAAATTTTCAAGACGACGCTTAAAATATATTTTGCTGATACTAAAAAGTGTTTTAAATTTATTAATGATTGAAAATTTTTATCCGCATCCCCGAGATGGGTAAAAGAGTACGGGGAAGAAGAAGGTGGTGACAAAAGACAAAAGTTTCGGAGACGAGATAAACTACTTTATTGAATGCACATTTTGGGGTTGATTTGAACGACGTGGATGAGCTCGAACTCTAAGAGATAGTTTGATGGGGCGAGATAGGGCGAAAAAGAACGAGTCTTCATCGAATACATCGGGTGTCGGAAGAGGAGCAGACATTCAAAATGTCGCTTCTAGTTTCAAAATTTATAATTTGAATTTCGAAACTTGTTTGAAATTTGAGAAAAAAAGTTGGAGGAGAAAAAAGCGTAAGAGGCGAAACAAAGAACTCATGATGAGAAACAAAGAATGCGTGATATGAAACTTTTAACAAAATCATTTGATCATCTCACCGACAATAAGCTCGATATGGTTTTGAGAGCTAGAGTGGAAATTATGAAAAAGTATTATATTTAGTCGTATTTTGTAGTCGTTTTATTTTAATCGTCGTTTTATCTATATAGTTGTTTAATTTAAATTATCGTTTTAACATTGTAATCGTTTTAATTTAAGTAATGCAGTATTTTCCTTTTATTAATTTTATAAAATTACATTTTTATAAAATTACATTCAATTAAAAAAAGAAAAATCAAAAAAATAAAAGTGTGGTATGGCACCCACGAGTTCCGTGGGGTGATGAGAAAAATTATGTGATGATGACGTGACACTGCAATAGTGTGGTGAGTATGGTATGTCACCCTATGGCCTTAGTGAGATTGTTGTTTTTTGGAAAGGTGCCCTTGGAATTCTCAAATCATAAATTATCTCTATTTTTAAGGCACTTATTGCAACTATCAATCATCTTGAGAGTATAAAATCCAATTTCTTTTGGGACGGTTGCCCGGAGATCAAAAAATCCCTTGGATTTCTCGGAAGAAGGTAATAGACTCTAAGGAAATGGAGTGTTGTGTATCGGAAGTCTACGAGTATAGAAAACATTTGTTGATGCGGTTAAAATGATTAATTGGTACGGATATCGAACCACACCATCAAATATTGCGTCAAAAAACACCCTTATTTAATGGTGTGGTTATAAAACCTCACTAAAAATATCTAAAACCGCACCAACAAATAATCCGAGAAAAAAATACAAACCGCACTAAAAACGATGAAAACCGCACCAAAAAGGGAACAACACCCAAAAAAACCTACATCGCACCAAAAAATAGATTTTGTACTAGTGTTCATATTGTTGCCCAACACAATTTGAGTTATAAACTTTCGAACAATGGTGTTCGTTGTAGGTGCAATTGGTGGAATCACATGAGCCCTTCCATTTGGATAGTGGGGGGAGGGAAAATCCATCCTCCTTGAAGGTATTATATACCCGACGCCATCTGGCCAAGAAGAAAAACCCATCGGAAACCACCATTAAACCACCATCATCCTCGCCACTTGTTTTCTTCCGAGAACCACAATCACTAAGCGCACCACTTTTTCCACAATTAACCATCGTCGAGCATCTCTACATCGACCACCTTCACAGCTGGGCTCACAAAACAATAAACCACTACCAGTTGACGTCATCACCATCTGCCCTACCTTAGCCAGAACTCACCCGTTACCATCTCCTCTTCCTGAAAACAACTCCTACATCTTCACTTCAAGTAACCACCCACACACCACTATCTCTTACATATTTCCGATCCACCACCCTTATTCCACCTCAAACAACCTGACGTCACCCAACCCAGATTTGAAAGAAATAAAAGAGAGGAAAAAGAAATAAAAGGAGTGTGACGTGGTAGAATAAGAGAAGGAAGAGAGAGACATTGCAAGTTTCTACCGATGATCCAAAGCTCGACATGCAGATAGTCGGTGTTTACGGAGTTACGAAGTCGAGCTATATGTCGAATTCACTCCCCATAGCCTTGGTATTGGTTGTGTAAGTGGAGAAGTAAGAAAGCAACATTTTAATGAAAGATTTGGTTGTGAAAGATTGCCAATGAACATAGTTTAATTCCTTAAGGCAATGCACATTCTTTTATTTTATTACCAACCGCATAAGTGTCAGATCATTTTCCCCTACTTTACTCTTTTGTTACCTCTCACCTAATATGCACTTGTATAATAAAAATGGAAAAAGCAAATAAATAGATAATAGAGGGTTGGGTGTGTTGTATTTATACTATAGAGGGACAAATGTATTTTTATGGTAGGGCGATGTTCACCACATGCCCTACAGCCAGTCAACCACACCCGCTTTATCTTGGTGGCCATCACATCCATACCTTTTAACCTAATAATGATTGTTTCACAAAGGGCATGACAACTAGTTTGTAATTGAAATCTGAACTGTTCTAATCTCATTAATCATGATTAGTAAACCACATAATCATCTCTTATTATCATAATTTATCATAATCATGATATGTTATAGAATGATATGGTGACTTTGGAAAGCTCGTAATGATAGAATCTTCAAACACGTGAAATTGAGTCTGACCAAGGTTGTAGACGACATACAAGCATTGGTTTTTACTGGTTAAAATTAAAACACATGGATCAATGGGAACTATTAGGTGGTGCGATTGGGGCACGTCCCCCTTTGCTATTTTGTAATTTTGTAATTTTTTTTATTTCATCTTTTCACATGTCCTTTTTACCTGTTGGGCTCGTCTAGCTTCTTGCTAGGTGCGACCCCTTTATAAAATCGTTAGCCTTTCCAAAAAAAAAAAAAATCTCATTTGCATTAATGTTACTTTTATGTAAAATTTGAATAAGTTTTTGAATAAATTATTACCATAGGAGATAGATGATAGTTCGTTTTTGAGAAGTCACTCCAACGGCAACCACTAGTGAACTTCAACATCTTAATGATCCTTTTATAGGTTTTGTCCTTTTTGGCATTTTCATTTCGTAGCATTTTATTTTACACCTTTATTATATTTAGATGTTATATTTAATTATTTTTATTATGTAATCTATTTTATTCAACAAAAAAAATATATTTGAATTTACTTTATAGAAATTTACATGGGATATATATACACTAAAGTCCCAATATTTTCATCGATTTGACAAGAAAGTCCTAAACTTTATTTTTTTGACAGTAAAGTCCAAATTACCGCAGTTTTTGACACTTTTACCCTTTTTTTTCCGGTTAGCCGATAATTAGGACTTTTTTGTCAAAAAAATAAAGTTTAGGACTTTCTTGTAAAATCGTTAATTAGGACTTTACTGTCAAAAAAATAAAGTTTAGGACTTTCTTGTCAAATCGTTGAAAATATTGGGACTTTAGTGTATATATCATTTTTTTGGTTAGAAATTTAATGGTATGATACTCTTTAAGCATAAGAGTTATTGAAACATTCTCTAGTCAGCTAGATCCTATTGAAATCCTTAACGTTTGCTTCTTGTTAAATCGTTTTTTAATCTCAACAAACCGACATTGAAAAAAATGGAGATAATCAAGAAAGAAAGAAATAAAGAACCAGGGTTATGTTGGCTTTTTGTAGTCCCAAAAATGGAGAAATAAGAAACCGAAAAAAAACGAAATTGCCCTTCTTTCCCTTCTCCACATTCACACCTTTTTTACTAGGCATGTGTTGTTTGTGTTTGTATAATCTGTCCCCACTTTTTAGTTCATGAATTGGTGGCGAAGCAAGAAGAAAGTTTTACAAGTCTTTTCACCCTTTCTCGCTGTCTCTTTTGCATATGTTTCTCCTGATCGCGATTGTGTCAGGGTAAGATGATGAAGGTAAGAAAAACAGTGGTGCTGCAACAAAACTCACAATTAAAAGTTCTTGGGTTACGAAAATACACTAAAGTCCCAATATTTTCAACGATTTGACAAGAATGTCCTAAACTTTATTTTTTTGACAGTAAAGTCCTAATTGACGATTTGACAGTAAAGTCCTAAACTTTATTTTTTTTACAAAAAAGTCCTAATTACCGGGAAAAAAGGGTAAAAGTGTCAAAAACTGTCGGTAATTTGGACTTTACTGTCAAAAAAATAAAGTTTAGGACTTTCTTGTCAAATCGATGAAAATATTGGGACTTTACTGGATATATCCCAAATTTACATCATAGAAAAACAATTTCGAAATTTACAACCTTGAACTCCGAATTTTAATCCTTTTGTATATTTTTTCTTTTTGGAATTTTCATTTCATAACATTTTATATTGCACCTTAATTATATTTAGATGTTATCTTTTATTATTTAATCTAGACAAAATTGCAAAAATAGTCTCTCCAAATTGTCAAAAATTTACATTTTGGTTCAATTTTTTTTAGATTAGCACTACCGGTTAACACTATCGCCACCCACCCCACCGTTATTCTCGTCAAACCACCACCAACATCTGGAACCATGGCGTAGATATGAATCTGTTCATGGCGATCTTCATCGCGATGTGGAGAGACAAAGAAACAACAATTTGGTAACCCTAGCATCGTCGCTACGACCGTCATGTTTTCGGGTGATGTAACCCTAGCATCGATGTCCTTTCAGGTGATGTAACTTCAAGACTTCGCGTTTTTAGGTTTACTGATTTGTTATTCATCGGGGGGGGGGGGGGGGGGGTTGTATCTCACAGATCAACATCATCGTTGGAGAATGAGCGAGACGAAATCCTCACTGACGAATGGGTGGCGCCGACGCTTGACGTATTTGTCCTTAGTTCGGTACGCTGTCATAGATCAACCTAGATCTTTACAAACTCTGTGTATTTGTAGAACGCCACAAGGAGTGTTCGAAATTTCCGGCGGTGTTCTAGATATCTATCGAAGGGTTTTCAAGATCTAAGGGGGTGTTTGGCTAAGCTTTTCAAAACAACTTATTAGGTTCCACACCACTATAAGTTAAAAAAGTGTTTTGATGAAAGTAACTTATTTCGGTAGGGAACCTCTAATAAGTCATTTTTTCATAAGTTACCCTACACTTACTTATTAACTTATAAGCTAATAAGTTAATAAGTTATAAGCTAATAAGCAATGCCAAACACCCCCTAAGATTGGCTGAGGGGTCTGTAGGAGCATAGCAGCAGAAGGGAGAGAAAGAGAGAGGTCGCCATCATAGCAGGAGGAGATTTTGAAAAAAAATCAACCTTTTAGGTTTATAATAATATCTTTTTGATAAATAAATATTAAGAAAATTTTGATGTAACAAAAATGATATGTGTTTAAAGACCATGGAGCATAATAAATATCTTTTGGTGTTTACGATTTTAAATTTTCTAATCTTGAACCTTAAAATTCTTACTAGTATACACATGTGTTTGTAAATTCCACTTCCATGTCTAGCTTATTATACCTTGAATCCTAGCAGAATTAGTTTAAAGAAATGAGATGGCCAATTCTGTAAAAGAGTCGAAGAAATTGATTTACAGACCTTTTGGAAGAACAGATGATGTACTGGGCAGATTCCTGGGCTGTGACCAAACTGATGCAATAAATTTCTTCCTAGTGACACCAATGTCATGGTTGTTACTTCGATTTAAATGGGTAAAAGAAGGTCGATGCTCAACTTGGAGTCTTTTTGCGCTGGCCTTCACCGCTTTTGATGAATTAAATTATTTAAACGTGTATTACAAATATCATGCGACGAATTATTTTATTCAATTCCATCAATGTCCAAACACTTTATTTTCACTCACATTTAGGACCAATTTAAATTAGAAAAAAATATACTATATGACGACCATTTTTTGAGTCATATTGTTTGTTTACTCAATTTTTTTTTACGGAGTATGTCATCTAACTTCTAATTTTTGTCCGAATAGTGTGACAAATAAACTAAAAACACTCACTAAAAACACTCGTCATTTTTGTCCCAATAGTGTGTAAAATGTATAATGCTCGACGATGATAAGAAACCTTTTAGTAGTTAACTATAAAGAAGAATACTTTAAATTAAAGGGAAAATAACATAAATACCCTACAAACTTTCTAGGGTTTACCCATTTAGTCCCTAAAGTTTTTGTCGGGCTTTATGGGTCCCTAAACTACGATATGATCTGCTCTTTTAGTCCTTTTAGTCCTTGTCAGTAACCTTTTAGATAAAAAAACTCACATTGTGTCCCTATAAGGCTAAGCGGAGTGGCTCGCCAAATACCATCGTCAAACTCACTAAGCAACTTGGAACACTGCCCCCTAGCGCTCGCTAGGGGGCTCGCTACTGGAGGCTCGTCACTGTGTTAGCGAGAAGAGAGAGAAGGTGAGAAATGAATGCGATTGGTCCGTATGTAGTTTGACCGGATTACTAATTTGCTTGACAAAATTCAATTTATGAATTCAATTTAACAAACTTTGGTCTACAATAAAAATGGCGATTTTGTTCGAAAGAGAAAGAAGATAAAGCGTTTGGGTTTTTTCAGAAGAGGAGAAGATAAAGTAGATGAAATATGATATATTTATTGAATGGTCCTTGTGGTTTTACTTTACCTAAAAACTTAGTCCCTTGAGTTTTAAGATTCTTTCTAATCTGAAAGTTATCACAATGATACAAATTCATTTATAATAATAATAATAATAACTAATTAAAAAAAATAAATAATTAAATTTAAAAATTACATTGGTAAAACAAGTTAAATTAGTGATATATCAATATTTTGGAACATATATTTTTGTAACATATACTGTTGATTATCAAACATTCAAACTTATTTAACATTGGTAAAACATATACCGTTGATTATCAAATATTATATTAATTGTTTGTGGTTTAAAAAAAAATTTGTTTAATATTTATGCATAAAAAATGTTTCTATATTAAAATAAAGTAATTTAATTAAATTAGAAAAAAAAATAAAAAAAATGGAGTGCTAGTAGTGCTACCACTCCCTACCAAATGCTAAGATTAAGTGCTAAATGTTCAAAAATGAGGTGGCACTTCAAAATCTAATATGACAAGGTGTTAGGAGTGTTACCACTCCCCTTAGCCTAAAGCCAAAAAAATAAGTTTGGGGTCAATTCTAATTTTATAACTAAAAAAAGGTTCATCTGGCTCTATTTCATCTATTTCTATTTTCCAAAGACCAAAGTCCATACTTGTTATCAAAATGAGTTAATTTATAAGCTAATTATTTGTTTATGTAAATTTACATGTTTTTAAATGAGTTTCAGTTAGTTTATGCAGTAAGTTGTATGTTTTTTAATTGAGTTACAACTCACATACTTTTCGTAGCCAATATAACAAAATAATACCTAATGTAGTGACAATCTTCATTAAAAAAACCAACTTGTTTGTACATAAATGTTTAGTCTTTGACTCAAATGTGATGTTTGAAAATTGTGCGTAAAGAATGTCAACAAGCAAAGTATCAAACTTCATCCATGGCGTTTGGCCTTTGACTTGGTCTTCTTCCCCACTACCTACTGAAAATTCAGCATGTATGTCCTACATAAATATCATCTGTATTTTTTCAAGGATTCCACCCACACCCACCACAAAATTCCAAAATTAAAGTAGGCGTATGGATATTTTACAAAATCCTTCATTGAAGACCATGGTCAAGGAAATCTTAAAATAGAAAAAGGTGAAAATCAAGCAGCTTTCACATGTTCCTATATTGAAATCCTCACCAATACTCCATTTCCTGGGTTTCACCTCTCTCATTCGTGAATTCTGATTTCTCCCCCACAGGAAATAAAGGAAAAACAGGGGGTTTAATCATGGGGATTTGTTGTTCTTCACATGATAAAGTTCCTACCACTATTCTCGCTACCACTATTCTCGATCCCAGTTCAGGTACCAAAGAGAAATCTTCAACTTTTTCTCACAGATTTATAGCGTAATCATTGTGGGTTTTGGTGTCAAACGTTGACTTATTGTTAAACTTGCATCATTCCATCTTAATTTCTTCGTTATCATGGAAAAAAAATCCATCGTTCTCCCCTTTTCTTATTGAACTTAGTACACACGTTTGTGGGTTCTTCTGCATATTCTGTTGACTTAATGTAAAACTCGAATTGATCCCCGAACTTATTTTTTTTTGGCTTTATAGGGCCACAATGTGAGTTTTTTTGGTCTAAAAGGTCAATGAACCGGCTATTACAGGTTGACATGGACTAAAAGAGCAGGTCATATTCTAGTTTAGGGACCCATAAAGCCCGACAGAAACTTTAGGGACTTTAGGGTAAACCCTAGAACGTTTGTAGGTTTTTTATGTCATTTTCCCTAAATTAAAAAAGAGAAAGGTTAGGTTCTACTAGGAATACTAGGAAAATAATAATCATTTCGTCATGTGTTTCTTTGTGATCTATAGTCGTCAATACGATAAAAGTAAACTGATGTGTCGTTTATACACTAGCTTTAAATTTACAATTTTTATATAATCTCAGTTAGTTTTAAGTTTTAACACAATAGATAGTTTATCTAATCATAAAATAATTTAGTTTAAAGTAACGGATATGACTTGATTCAAAAAAATAAATTTATTTAATTAAACTAGAGACAGAAAGTAAAAATGGAGTTTTTAAAGTATCAATTTTAAGAACTAATAACTAGCAAACAAAATGAATAAGAGTTTTTAGACAATATGTTTGAAGTACTTTCACTTAGATTACGAATCTCCCCTATTTCATATGATTGATTTCTTAGTAGTGCAATGAATTAATAAAGTTAATTACCAATTTTTAATATGAATAGTTATTTTGATTTGATTAACTAATACTTATGATTATAAGCAAACTAATAGAACAATCTTGTAATTAGCTAATTAAATAATCAATTAATTCTTCTAATTATGAGATATTTGATATAATGATTCCTTATCGATGGTCATGATAATTCATCGAAGCATAACATGGATACCTAATACTCTCTTATACATTTAAGTTAACAACTATATCATATAATCCAAGGATTTGGTCTATCTCTAGTCATAATTATCAATGTCTTCAACAACTATGATTAAGATTAACAAAGTCTACTTGGTCCTCTTAACTCTATCAATTCAACAATAGGCAATAAAAATCGAGACTTAAATACATAAGGTAAATGATCAAAGAAACTTAATAACTAAATAAACTTTATAAATTCAAAACTAATAATCAATCCATATTCAAAAGGGGTTCATCAATCTAAGCAGAGGTAAAAGGGGATTTGCCCATAATCGAATCTAGAAAGAAAGAAAAAAGTTTTAATGACATTGTAAAAAATTGAAATCCAATGATTTAGATCTTCCATATTCAAACACAAACTCCAGTAGTGTTCTTTAGCTTTGAGAATGCTTCCGACCTTCTGAAATTCAGAACTAGGAATGTCTTCGGTACACTTTGGAATGAATGAGGAGGTCTCTATCAATAGAATATAGAAACAAGTATATTGATGCATGAGCAGGTCAATGCCACTTTCTCCATGTTATACCAGGACTCTAAATGTTGTGTTGTGTCGCTACTTGCAGATACCGCGTCATAGTTTCCTGTTTTTGGCTTTATCTTGCTTCTTAGTTCCTTATCAGCTCCATTCAGCTGTAATCATTTCCTTTTATCAATCAACTAAGAATTTATTTGTATTTATCGATTTCAAAGCTTATTAAGTATCATTTATCTATAATACAACATTCTAAAATAATTTCTTAAGATAATTGCCCAAAATATATTGCTAATTGTGACAATATCAAAATACCTCACACTTATTCTTTGCTTATCCTTAATCAAACTAGAGTTATTCAGGACATAATTTCAATTCATTTTCGATATTATAGCACCAGTACTTTGTTTACCAATATAACACAATATAAACTGATTCTATCTAGCATCAATGCGTATAACTGTGTCTCAATCCTAATAACTTTTCACACTTTAAATACTCACAATCCTTAATTACCAATTACTTTGACAATACTCATATTTACATCCTTTCAAATATACACTTTAAAAATATTGTCACACCCCCAAACCAGGATGGCGGAAACGTTACATTGTTGAAAAAGTTACATTGTTGTAAGATTTACATGTTTCAAAATCAATTACAATATGATGATAAAAAGATTTGTCTGACGCCTTAGCGTCCCATCCTCAAAAGCTTGTTGTTACCTATTTTAGTGATTTCCTGAGAATACAAGTGGTTTGAAAAAGTGTCAACAATTAAGTTGGTGAGTTCATAAGAATTTGTATGAAGAGTTGAAAGCCTTTCTTTGTAAAATGATAGTGTTCGTTCCAGAAAATCGAATATTTTCCATAAAAATGAGTTGCAGTCTTAGAACCCTAAGACCGAAATGTACAAGTATTTTCCATACTTGAAATAGTAATATGCAATTTTAATTTATATAAAACCGTTTGAATGAATGTTTCCCCGTAAACTAAATGTATCGTTGTTTCCCCATGTGAGTTATTATAACCATACTATGACATAGATGGCCTGTCGCGATGTTCTTCAGGCGTCGAAATGTTATGACATTTGTCACCCGAGACCTGCCGGTCTAATTGTAGCTAACAGCTAGGGTGCGGGATTGTTAGTCCCGTATAGATCTATAC